ATGTACGTTAGTGCACCGCTTAACAATGGGAATATGTTCTGAGAAATGCGTTGTTAGGTGATTTCATCATTGTGTGAACATTACAGGGTGTACTCACACAAACCCAGATGGTATAGCCTACTGCAAACCTAGCTATATGGTACTAATCTTATGGGACCACCGTCATATATGTGGTCCGTTGTTACCCAAAACGTTATTAGGCGGCACGTGACTGTACTCTTTTCACCTTGCTTTTTTGCCCTTAATAATATAGCCTGGAAATCACACTGTACCACTTCATAGCACTCTTCCTCATTCTTTTTTATGGCTGCTTAGTACTTCATTGCATGGATGTCCCATGGAATATTTTAACAGTAAACATTTCTAGGCCAAATGACAAAGGTCTGCCAAAACCTGCATAGTAGCTAAAATGCTGCACTTTGGTAATGAAAAGTTAGTAGAATACTATTGCTATACTAATATTTAAGACTTTTAAAAAAGCAAAATGAAATATGTTTTTTAATGTACCTTATACTACCTCGTGGATGTTTGTTCTTGAGGAAAAGCAGATTCAATGAGAAGTAGATGGAGGCTTGTAGAATGTGGAAGGGGATTTCAGATTCTATAAATATTAAAGATGCCATTCTTGACTCAAAATGTGGTTTTGCATAAATTTATCATATGACCCAGCAATTCCACTCCTAGGTATATACCCAAGAGAATTGAAAACATGTCCACACAAAACCTCATACACAAAGGGTCACAGCAGCATTATTCATAATAGCCAAAAAGTAGAAACAATCCAGTTGTCTTTCAACTATGAGTAGATAAAATATGGCATATCCATTCAATGGAATATTATTCAGCAACAAAAAGAAGCGAAGTACCCATATGTGCTACAAAATGGATGAACCTTGAAAATGTTATGCTAAATGAAGGAAGCAAGTTCCAAATGACCACATACTGTTTGATTCCATTTGCATGAAATGTTCAGAACAGACAGAAAGTAGATTAGTGGTTGCCTAGGGCTGGGGATGGGAACAGGGGTTAACTGCTTGAGGGTTCTCTTTGGGGTGATGGAAATGTTCTAAAACTAGATTTTGGTGATGGCTGCATGACTTAATAAATTTACTAAAAATCATTAAATTGTATACTTGAAATGGGTGAATTTTATGGTATGTAAACTATACCTCAATAAAGCTGGGTTTTGTTTTGTTTTTTTTTTTGAGGCAGATTAGCCCTGAGCTAACAACCATCGCCAATCCTCCTCTCTTTTGCCGAGGAAGATTGGCCCTGGGCTAACATCCATGCCCATCTTTCTCTACTTTATATGGGACACCGCCACAGCATGGCTTGACAAGCGGTGCGTAGGTCTGCGCCGAGGATCCAAACCTGCAAACCCCAGACCACCGAAGTGGAGCACATGAACTTAACCACTACACCACCAGGCCGTCCCATCAATAAAGCTGTTTTAAAAAAACAAAACAAAGCATGGTTTTGCCCTTCCTCACCAGCACACTTAATAGTGCACCAGCACTATATACAATTATCAGCCAGGATTAGTTCATTTTTATAACAAACAGAGAAAGGATATTTTCCTGAGATAACTGGAAGAGGCAAAGGACATTAAATGATATATGTCTTATCTTTACAACCCCAGCTTCTAGTATAGTAATGCCTGTAACACAGTAGGAGCTTGATCATTGTTTACTGAATGTAGTGTAATAAGTGAGAAAAATCTCCTACAGGGAACTAACTGGTCTGTCATTAGTGAAAACCAGGAAATGAAGCCAAATCCTGGAGATGAATAGGTGAGAGGTGGGTGGGAACTAGAGAATCAATGTCAGCAGGGCAGACAGTTCTCTAGCCTGATTGTCTGATGTAGAAAAATAAGTACAGTTACACATAGGGGCAATGTGAAATACAACAAATAGAGTTATTTCATCCTTTGTAAGTTGAAAAGCATTTAGAAACTATTCAAAACAAAGGGTGGGGGAGTGAGGATTGCTTTGATTTTTAGAAAGCAGAGACCCAGTAAAATCAGAAACATTTATTACCGTTCATTATGAATAATTTAAAAGTGATATTAGCATGTTAGTCTTCATACAAATTCCTCTTAAGTACAAAAATCAAGATATCATTGTATGCTTAGGGCCATCAAATCAGTCCAGTACAAAACCACTCTCTCAGACTTGTGGATCACACCTCCATTTATTAGAGGACACGAGTTTGCCAAACCAAACCCAGGCTTACATTTGGGAATTTGCCAGGCGAAGGGGGAGCAGGAGGCACTATTAAATTAAAAGCCAATTTAAAAGATTTCAGTAGCTAAACAAAAAGTTCCCAGAGACACCCGTGATAGCCATGTTTTTAGCCCCTTTCAACCATGAAGGCCTGTGAGCACCCCAGGCAGCATCAGTCAGAACATCCTGAGACTGGAATACCCATGAGCAATAAGTGCTTTTGTTTGGCTGCCTGTGGGAAAACTCAGTGACTCCACACAAGGGCAGTGAGCACACACGCTCCCAGGCCGGTTGACTCCTACAGTCACCACACTACTATAATAGCAGCCCCACTTTCCAAAGTGCTACTGGGCCTTAGTTGAGGAGGGCCACCCTCACCCTCTTCCAGTTAACACACTGCTCATACAGAATCCCTGCCACCCCTCACAGGAGGTCCTGGGTTACACATCAGAAAATAGATAGGGTACATTGAAATTGAGATAGAAGCCAAACGATGAAATCCAGGCATTTGTGACAACATGGATGGACATTGAGGGTATAATGCAAAGTGAAATAAGTCAGAGGGAGAAGGTCAAATACCGTATGATTTCCTTCATTAAGTAGTAGATAATAACAACAATAAACAAACACATAGGGACAGAGATTGGATTGGTGGTTACCAGAGGGGAAGGGGGGAGGGAGGAGGGTGAAAGGGATAATTCAGTACATGTGTGGTGATGGGTTGTAATTGGTATTTTGGTGGTGAACATGACGTAGTCCATGCAGAAATTGAAGTACAATGATGTACACCTGAAATTTTTACAATGTTATAAACCAATGTTACTGCAATAAACAAAAAATTTATATAAAAAAAAAAAAAGAGTGTATTAGCAGGATAACTTTAGAAAAAGACATCATAGCCATTTTGAACCAACAGATGTTTAGAAACATTTAAATAATAATAAAAAGCAAGACAATAAAAAAAAAAAAAAAAAGAAGCCATATGCTGGACCATACTATCCATCCTGGATCCTCCACAGCTTTAGACAATCAACGGTGTAGAAATGGACACCAACGAAGTACTGTGTGAAGTGGAGGGTGCAGTGATGAAGGAAAAACAGAACACTTTAGTCCATGGTGAAGGAAAAGGAAGTAAAGAAGGAAGAAGAGAGAGTTTATGTAACCTTTTATCGTCTATCAATACTTGATATCTGCTTGACCTCCAAGTTCCAGATTTTCGAAGAGTGGGGTTGCCAGATTTAGCAAATAAAAATACAGGATGCCCTGTTAAATTTGAATTTCAGATAAACAGCAAATAATTTTTTAGTGTAAGTATGTCCCAAATATTGCATGGTACATACTTCTTATACTAAAAAATTATTTGGGGGCTGGCCCAGTGGCATAGTGGTTAAGTTTGCACGCTCTGCTTCGGTGGCCTAGGGTTTGCAGGTTCGGATCCTTGGTGCAGACCTATGCACTGCTTAGCAAGCCATGCTGTGGCAAGCATCCCACATATAAAGTAGAGGAAGATGGGCATGGATGTTAGCCCAGGGCCAATCTTCCTCAGCAAAAAGAGGAGGATTGGCAACAGATGTTAGCTCAGGGCTAATCTTCCTCACCAAAAAAAAAAATTATTCATAGGGGCTGGCCCCATAGCATAGTGGTTGAGTTCAGTGTGCTCCATTTTGGTGGCCCGGCAGCCTGGCTTCATGGGTTCGGGTCCCAGGCGCAGACCTACACCACTCGCTGGCCCTGCTGTGGCGGCAACCCACATATAAAGTGGAGGAAGATTGGCACACATATTAGCTCAGGGCTAATTTTCCTCAGCAAAAAAATATTATTTGTGAAAAGTCATTGTATTTTATCTGGCAACCCTATCCTGGTTGTTCAGTTAGCATGAAGCTACTCTGATCAGATCTTGTCAAAGAGCAACAGCAAGACTATCACTGAGCAAAGCACAGACACTTCACCCACCACAGGAGGAAGAGGTATGTGATCCTTTTAGCTCCATTTCCCAAACGCTTGAAAATCCAATGCTATTTTGGCACGGTGAGAGGGTATGTGCACGGTGGGGTTGTCAACCATTATTTGCCAGATGGAGAAGTAAGTTTTCCTTCCATATTAAATGAAGAAGGTCAAAAATACAACTAGGGAGAAGGAGAAGCAGGTGCACTGGAGTATGGAATGTGACTCCTAGTGTCCCAGAGCAGGCTGAGCAACCCCAGCAAAATCCCCACAAGGGTGACAGACCCTGGAGATCCAACATACTCCAACTCTTTTAGAGTAACTAAAAGACCTCAAAAGGCACACAGGGCTGACCACACACAGAGGGAGATGTACAGAGGAGGGAGGAACAGGAAGAGCAAGGGAGCCTTTAGAGTGACTCGGAGGAATGATGGCAGAAGAGAAGTCTCAAAGGGACTCACAGAACTCCCTGACAATGACTGGCAGGACATTTTGTTTGGTTGGTTGGTTTTATTTAGGGGGTTAACCTTCAGTAGTCTTTCCCTAAAGTGGAAGGTGACAGAGAGAAGAAAGGGCCACAGAGAAGCCTCAGAGACACAACTTTTTGGAGGGATTGTTAATTCCACATTGCCAGACCCATAGTGCTATCATAATGTGATAGCAGATCTGACCATCAGATCCCACATCCAATGCACTATCACAACTAAATGCCAAACCCATCTTGTGAGGATGGAAGAGGAACCAATAACAGGTCCATTGCTGGTAAACATTCCTCTCAAAGGCATGAAGAGGGAAACATCAAAAAGAACAGGATCATATTATGCTTTTCTTTTCCACAGCCTCCTCCATGGGAATTCCTAGTTCCTATTAACCCAGCATCTCTGAAACTGTGTTCCCAAAGATGTTAATAGGTGTTGCATGGGACCAAAAAAAAAAAAAGTTCAGTGAAATAAGTTTGGGAAATGTTGCATACTTATTAAAAGTTATAAATTCCTGCAGTAGAGGAACCTGTTCAACTTTATTTAAATCACTGGTTCCTGACTTATTTGACCACAGAACCCTTTTAAGGAACATCTATTACCATTTCACAGAACTTTGGAAAATACTGCTTAACCATTTTTGCAAAAAAGTGTCTCATCTCAAGAATGGGAAGAACATGTCAACATTGGGAACACCCAGGAATCAACACATAAAATAGTATTCAAAAATTAGTATTTCAGAAAATTTAAGACAATGATCTGAAAATTGGAGAACCTTGTCCTTCTGTGAGGCACTTGCTCAATGGTAAATACAGCCAGGAAAGCTGAAATTAGATTTAAAAGCAGACAAGCAAAAGCCTACAAAGAACAGTACTAGGCTGCTCTGCTTAGTCGTGACTTGGCCAGGATAGAAAAGAACAGCACTTGGTGGTATCTCCTCTTAACCCCTTTGACAAAGGAGACACACGCTCTCAAACTTCCTCCAAAAGGTTCCGACCAAACTTCAAAGCAGCCTGTACAAACTAGCCTGCTTTTGTTCCTCCAAAAGCCGAATAACCTGAAGTCTAGGGTTTCCAGGAGAAAAGACAGATGGCTCATGCTGACATTGTTAAATGCTGTCAAAGGAATCCCCCCTTATTCTTAGGTGTAGTTCCCAAGTAGCACCCCAAAAGCTATAAGAGGACACACTTCTTGGTGTTCTTCTTGGTGGCAGGGTAAAGCACAGCCCGGACAGCTTCCAGAAATACCTCGTGTACTCCATCCTGCATCAGGGCCGAACATTCCAGATACTTCACAGCCCCCACCTGCTTAGCCAGGGAAGTGCCTTGCTGAGGAGTTGTGGGCACTAGGCTCTGTTCTTTCAGCTTCTTCACTGTCTCAAGGTCACTCCGCAGGTCCCTCTTGGTGCCTACCAGCAGAATAGGTACATTGGGGCAATGGTGGGAGACCTCTGGGTGCCACTTATGCCTCACATTGGCATAAGAGGATGGGTTGCCAATGGAAAAACAAATGACAAAGATATTGGTCTGGGGGTAGGAGAGCGTTCGCAGTCTGTCATACTCCTCTTGTCCAGCTGTGTCCCACAGGTTCAGGCTGACGATTTGGCCATCCACAGATGTCTGGGCGCTATAGTTGTCAAAGACAGTGGGGATATACTCCTCAGGAAAGGCATTTGTTGTGTAACTGATGAGGAGGCAGGTCTTACCTACAGCCCCATCTCCTACAACCACACATTTGATTGTCTGCATTCTTCCCTTGGAGTCCTAAGTACAAGAGAGAAAAAGAATGTTCACAGACACTTGGTTAATTTAGGGAGCCTAAGCTTTATAAACATTTCTCTCTGAGGAGAAGAGAGGAGGTAAGATCCCCACTGCCCATCCCTTTCACACCATAGAAGAGTCAGTGGGAAAGGTTGTATAGGGCAAGAATTCTTACCGTGGAGGCCATGGACTGCTAGAGGATAGGCAGAGGTAGGTCCTAAAAGCCACATCTGAAGTTGTGTGCAATATTATGTGTATGTGCATAAGTGAATTTTTGCCAGAAAGAAGATCCAAAGCTGTCATCAAATTTTCAAAAAGGGCTGTGAGCCCAGAAAGATTAAAAACCATTTGTATACATAGGTATTTATGTTACACTATTGTCATAAGGTCTGGATGTACTGTATCAAAGGTGCTAAAATAGAGTAGATGCTCAATAAATGGTAACTAATTAAAAAAAATTGGTATAGAAAGAAGCTTCCCAAGGTTGAAACAAAAGAAATATGGCTCTCACTTCAGGTTTGTGGCTATAGGCTCAGCAAATGAACCTCTGTTCCTGAAAAACAGTGACATCATAATATTGGAGGGAAGGAAAGGTAGACCAGTCAGACTCAGCCATATAGAGAAGTTGTTAAGAGTCCAGGCTCTGAAGTCAGACTGCCTGGAGTCAAAAATCAGTCCTCTCTTTGCCTAAGCTTTGTGAACTTAGGCAAGTTTTTAACCTGAGGCTTAAATGAAAGAATGCATGTGTAGTACTTATTAGTGCCTGCCACATCGGAAGTACTCATTAAGTGTTAGAAGCTACTGTGACTTTGTAATAATAATTCTTCTACTATTCTACTGCTGGGGAACGCAAAAGTTCTGTAATGTGATTACAATGCTAGACAAAGCAGGGGTCTCATTCCCTCCTACCTTGTCTGAGTAAAACTACAGGTCATAACACCACCATACTCTTGTCCACTTCTTCATGAATGAAGTATTTGAGAGTAAATGGTACAACACAGATGATCTCCAAGAAGCATGTTTACTACGAGCCCCAGGTCTATACCTCCATAGTACTACCCTGTCAATGCCATGCCCTGTCAGTGCCCCACAGCGTTCCATTTTCTTTAGCTTCTTAACTACTGCCCTCATTTCAGACCCGATCCTGATAGCATTAACTTCTTCAAGTGTCAGAACATGGAGGAAAGGGGATAAATTGTCATATATATTTGATTATTAAAAAAATTGAGACTCAGTTTCTCACCTTGGGAATTTAGGGGAATAGATACATCCCCCATCCTGGTGTCTTATTAGCTAAGGCCTACATTAGGCCCATATCATAGACAAAAACAAAACAAAACACCTCATTTGGGGTCAAGGGAAAGAAAAGTTGGCCTTCCAAGAATGCTTCACACAGGCCCACTAGGGGTAGCTCTCTCCCCTCACAGCCAATTCTGACCAGCAAGGCATTCCACCTAGAAGCCTTCATTAGCACAGGTCCCAGAGCTAAAAGTCCAGAGCGTAATTCAGCTCTAGTAGGCAACCATCCCAGAGTATTCACTAACCATCAGCTCTGTCTTTTTCCATCTAGGAATAGGCATAAGGACCAAACACGCAAGGTCAGTGGAAACAGGGCAGAGTCACCACCACGTTCCTTGAGAATAGCCTTCCTTGACTTTCCCAGTCTGGATTAATTTCTTTCTCCTCTGAATTCCTATGGCAGTTACTGCCTATACAACTCATCCTGCCAACCTCCTCTAGGTATCATACAGTTTCCAGCATCTCTGCTCAAAGTGGCTTCTTTCAGGACAATAGTGCATCTGAGGGGGATGCTGAACCAGAGCAAAACTCTTAGGCATAAAGACCAGTTTGCACCCCAAGCTCAGCTCCTCATCTCTGTAACTAGGAAAAGGCATCTACACTCATTTCTACTTGTTTATATCTACCAATACTCCTTGTATATATGGTCTGCAGATGGGCACTCAAGTCACACTGATGGCTGAGGACCTAGATGATAAAGTGCAGCTAGAACATCCCAGGTCTGAGACAAAACCCAAAACATCCTCACCAGTAGCAAACAGTCTGTGAGAGGGAGGGTTCAGCAAAAGTCCCAGGTATTTTGAGGGGGGCTGCTTTGTACAATTGACTCATTTATTCAGCCCACATCTTCGTTATACTATTTTTTCTACTTGTGTGTATGTTTGAAATTCTCCATAGTTAAAAGGTTTAAAAATAATACTTAAAAAATATATCCAAAAGAATTGAAAACAGGATCTCAAAGAGATTATTTGCACACTCATGTTCATCGCATCATTATTCACAATAGCCGAGAGGTGGAGCAACCTAAATGTCCATTGATGGGTGAATGGATAAAGAAAATGTGAGATATATATATATATATATATGAATATTATTCAGCCTTAAAAAGAAGGGAATCTTTGCATATGCTACAATATGGATGAAGCTTGAGGACATTATGCTAAGTGAAATAAGGCAGTCACAAAAAGCCAAATACTGCATGATTCCACTAATATGAGGTATCTAGAATAGTCAACTCATAGAAACAGAAAGTAGAAGGGTGGTTGCCAGGGGCTGGGGGAGGGGGAAACGGGGAGTTGTTTAATGGGTATAGAGTTTCAGTTTTGCAAGATGAAAAAATTCTAAAGATCCGTTGCACAACAATGTACATATAGTTAACACTACTGTAGTGTACACTTAAAAATGGTTAAAATATAGCAAAAATGATACTTTTTTTAAAAGGTTGGGAGCTCTGAGAGAAGACGAGGAGTTACAAGAGAAAGGCGAATATTCTGTTCATCACCCACATGAGAAAAGCTTGTTTACCTCAGCTCCAGGATTTAGCATGATGCTGTCCCATTAAGGATCACCCACAGCTTTCCCCTCCTCAACACCTCCACTATCCACACTCTCCCAGGTACTACTATAGGCAATGCATTGCTAGGAGGGACTCAAAGGGTAAAAACAAACAAAAAAAGAATGCTAGAAGCTTACAGTCTTGTGGTAAAGGCAGGACTTATATAAAAAGGCAAACAATAATACACAGTAATGCATGGCTTGGAGGGAAAAAAAATGTTGCTATGGGGAAGCAAAGGGCAACTAAAAATTGAGAGCCTGTTATAGGCATTGTGCAAAGTACTTTCACATATCTTATTTAAGCCTCACAGTAGCACTGTGAAGTAGACATCAGAGCAGCTCAGAGATCTTGAGGTATGCCTCTAGGCTTGGAAATTGGGAGAGGCCTGGAGCTGCAGAGACCAGCACCCCAGAAGGCTCCCTTCTGAGTTAGTCATTCACTTTTAGCCTTGGAATTATAGTTTCTTCAAAATCTTCCAATCCTATCTGACAAAGCATCCTTCTTCACATGTACACTCTGCACAGCAGCCAATTTTCTCCTAGGTTGGACACACAATATAAAAGACCCAATAACAGTCAAAACAAGAACACAGCTCAAAGTATTACTGTTTCTAGCACATTCTCCTCAAAGCCTCACCCTTTCCACAAGTCTGAGTCTAATCTGCTTGAAAACACTCTAACTTTCTGAAACCAAAACAATTTAGCAGAAGACTCCCACTTTTATATACTACTTTCTACAACTTAGTTATCTACTAAATCTGGGAAGCTTTTTCACATTGAAGACTGACTTCTTTGGCTCAAGTCCAGTCAAAGAAGACTTCAGGGTGCTGGGGGTGAAGGAAGCCATGTGAACACTCCCCAACCCGAAGCCAGGGGAGATTATCCTGCGCCTGGAAACAACCAGAGAGGCAATCCTAGTGACCTATCAATAGCCACCACAAGCCCGCTTGGTGCTTCCCTCACATCCTTCTTCACCAGGGGTAGTTGGTTCTGGGACTTCATATGGACTCGTGAGCCTGGGTTAGAGAGGTGCCCCACCTCGGATTCACGTATAGGAAGAGCTGGCTCAATCTCCCCCAAAATACATACACCTCATCCCACCCTCAAGTCCCTTCCATCCCAGGAGTGGCAACCGTCCCGGGGATGGGGAGGCTCGATGAGAAAAGAGCGAAGTGGGGGCCGCCCAGAGGGTTCTCAGTAAGGATTACCGGGCTAAGTGGCCGTCCTTCGCGCCGTTCCACCGCAGCTGGCAGAGCCTCCGGGGTGTCTCTCGCTGGGCTTGGCAGGCCCGGCGGGCTCGGCGCCACATCCGGGCAGCGACCGAGTCCCACCCCGTCATTGGACGCAGTCTCGACTCGGTGCCCCGAGACCTCCTGGGAAGTGGAGTTCCTCTAGGGCCAGCCTCGTTGTCTACAAGTCACAGGCTGCTAAACGACACCTTCGGGTAATCGAGGATTACTTAGATCCGGACCCCAGCACGAGTTACTCGGTTCGGAAGTCCCCAAGCCTCACCTTTCCCTTGGCAAAGTGAAGCCAACCCTTCCTCCCCAGACCCCTGTTTTCTCCTCAAGACTAATATTAACATAAAGAGGCAGTCAGTGAACAGAAAAAGTGTTAGGAAAAATGGAGGCGATAAAAGAAAATGAGGTAGTGAGCGAATTAGCATTGCTGTCTGTCACCATATATTAGTTTGCATTTTCTGGAGTTTTATATAAATGGAATCATACAGTATGTACTCTTTTTAACAGCTTTATTGAGATACAAATTCACATACCATACAATTCACTCATTTAAATTGTACAATTCAATGGTTTTTGGTATGTTACACTATTCATTTTTAAAATTGGTAAATATTTGTGACAAAATTTGCCATTTTAACCATTTTTAAGTGTACAATTCAGTGGCATTAATTACATTCACAGTGTTGTACAACCATCATCATTGTCTATTTCCAAAACTTTTCCATCACCCCAAACAGAAACTCTGTACCCATTAAGCAATAACTCCTCATTCCCCCTTTCCCACAGTTCCTGGAAACCAACCTCTAACCTACTTTCTGTCTCCATGAATTTGACTTTTCTAGCTACCATTCATCTACTGATGGACATTTGGGTTGTTGACAGCTTTTGACTATTGTGAATAATGCTGCAGTGAACATTGGTATACAGGAATCTGGATTTGTTGATTTTTCTCTATTGTTTTCTATTTCACTGATTTCCACTTTGATCTTCATCATTTTTGTTCTTATAATTTGAGTTTTATTTGCTCTTCTTCTTTTTACTGAAGTGAAAGCTGAAGTCACTGAGACCTTTCTTCTGTTCTAATATAAGTGTTTTCTAAAATTACCTAACTACTGCTTTAGGAGAATGCCATGAATTATATGGTGTAGTTTCATTTTCATTCAGTTCAAAATATTTTTCTAATTTCCCTTTTGATTTCTTCTTTGACCCATAGATTATCTAGAAATGGATTATTTAGTTTTCAAATATTTGAGGATCTTCCCAGAGATGTTTCTGTTATTGATATGTAATTTAATTCCATTGCTTTCAGAGAATATATTTTGTATGACTCGAATCCTTTTGAATTCATTGAGACTTGTTTTGTGGCCTAGAATATGGTCTATCCTGGTAAATACTCCATGTGCACTTTAAAAGAATGCGTATTTTGCTGTTATTGAGTGGAGTGTTCTATAAATGTCAGCCAGGTCAATTTGCTTAATAGTGTTGTTCACTTCTACTATATCCTTGCTAATTTTATGCCTACTTGTTCTATCAATTATTGAGAGAAGGGTATTGAAATCTCTGACTAGAACTGTGAATTTGCCTATTTCTCCTTGTGGTTTATCAGTTTTTGATTCATGTATTTTGAAGCTCTTATATTAGTTGTACAAACGTTTAGACTTGTTATGTCCTCTTCATTAATTAACCCCTTTACCATTATAAAATTACCTTCTTTATTCCTGATATCTTTGCTCTGGAATCTACTTTGTCTGTTATTAATATAGCCCCTCCAGCTTTCTTTTGACTAGTGTTATCATGGTACATCTTTTTAATGTACTTTTACTTTTAACCTATTTGTGTCTTTGTATTTAAAGAGCATTTCTTGTAGGCAACATATGGTTGAGTCTTACTTTTTTACCCAGTGATCGTATCTACCCTGTAATTGGGGTGTTTAGACCATCTACATTTAACATGATTGTTGTTGATATGGTTAGGTTTGAGTCTGTAATCTTGCTATTTGTTTTCTATTTGTCCCATGTCTTTGTTCTTTTTCCTCTTATTCTCCCTTCTTTTGGATTAATCAATATTATTTTTATTCCGTTTTATCTCCTTTGTTGGCTTGTTAGCTATACCTCTTTGTTTGTT